CCAATTCCCCAAAACCACAACCACCGGCACCAAACCATCTTTTCCTTTGTGTCTTTGCTCTTTACTTCTCTCTTTCTCAAACCAAACCATCTTCGTCACCCAAGACCATGTGAGTCAGGTTGGTTGATTGGTCCACGGGTTGGTTCCAAGGTGGGTGGACTACTTGGGAACCCGCGTCCGCTCGCGGCTTGTGCTTGGAACCCGTGACCAAAAGCTCATAAGCAAACGGCGTCAAGCGGATTGTGGGCGTGCATCGACCCATAGCTGGATACGTAAGAACTCGCTTGTTGGACCCAAGGACATTGTGTCACTAGGGTCAACCCAACCCCGGGTCCTCGACACCCAACTCACACAGACCCCCCAACACCGGCCACACACACAGGCGCTGGATGAAGCTGCAGCTGCCTTTGGTTGTCACACCCGCAAACGTTGGCCGGCCTGTGCGTGAGTGAGTGAGACTGTCTCGGCGGGCACAAGGCTTGGCCTCAAGCCTCCTTTTTTTCCTCTCGCGCTCTGCTCGTTCAAAACAGAACCAAACCACACGCTGCCGCCCCAACCTCGCTTAGCATTACATCCCCCAACACCGCTGCTGTCATTCTCCATGCCGCACAACCTTCTCTGTCCCCCTTCTCAAAAAATTGGGTCAGAGAGGGGTTGGTGTTGGTGTTCTTGCGTGAAACTCGATTTCCGGTTGGGTGGTCCCACACTGAAGAGAAAGACGAGAGAGAGCGAGAGAGAGAGCGACACACACCCACACACACATCGTGAAGGTTTTTGTTGTTGTTGTCAAGACCATCTCATTCCTACTTTTATCCCCACTGACAACCCCACCCCACCCCGTAGGTACATATTCTGAATGACGCTTTTCGTGTGTGAGTGTTGCACCCCATTCGTGTCCCCCCCCTCCCCGCTTGGCCCTCTCTCTCTCATCCTCTCTCTCTCTCTCTCTCTCTCTCTCTCACCGTCTCTCTCTCTCTCTCTCTCTTTCTGTCTCGTGCTCTGGTGTGGCTGCTTCCTGTCGTGCAGGGGGGGGGGGGG